AAGCTCTTCACCACCAGTCTAACTGCCCTATTCTATTTACACTACCCCTACCCCTTTCTTAGCTCTCTTAGCTGATCTCTTCTTTAGTAGTGCTCTTGTTATGATAACTTTAGCATGGCTGATGTTATGAAACATATCAGCTAGTCCATTAGCTCAAACAGTATACACATGGTTAAAGCATCAATAGGCTTATAGACCATGCTTGCACTCATGGGCACCTTGCTTTGCTGCCCAAAAGACAAATCAATGGCAATTCCTGAAATTAATTCATAAAGAACACTAAGCACATGCAAAACCTGCTGAAACAAAGCAGATTTCAAACCTTATCCATGTTTTGTCATGCATAGATGCTCTCAAGTAAACTTCTCCAAACAGTTATCAATGAGGAGGAAGGGACCCTGCAGAATTGAAACCATATTTTTTTGTATTCACACCCTCCCCTCCAGATTTTTTTTTTTAGTGTTTATAAACTACTTCAAATGTTTTTTTCCCCTCACATAAAAACTGGCGGGGAGCTGCCCCAAGTTCCAGTCTTTACTCCCCAATTGCTGATCTTCATCCCTATTATAAATCAAATGCAAAGGAGTGCATTTATGATACTCAAATACAATTATTTTATCAATCTAAAGCAGACAAGCAACTGCATGTAATCCAAGTCTCATTACAGGACTTTTCACAGTATATCAAGATAACAGGGATGAAATGTTGATTGAATGCTGTTGTACTTATGTGCTTAAAACAAAGCAGCACTTTTTATTATTTTGAAGTGCTCACAGGGCCGGACTGGGGATACAAAGCAGCCCTGGAAAAAAATCTATGCCAGCCCCATAAGTCATTGTGCTATGTAGGGTGTTTATTTATTTATATATATATATATATATATATATATATATATATATATATATATATATATATATATATATATATATATGCATATATATATATATATATATATACACACACACACACACAACTTGAAATAGTTGGCTGCACTCTCGGATTTCCTGAAAATGTAACTTTTATTGAAATATTTAAGAGAAAATCAATGTTTCAGTCCCTCTTGTGAACTTTCGTCATGATCCTGATGCAAGTCCACAAGAGGGACTGAAACGTTGATCTTCTCTTAAATATTTAAATAAAAGTAAAATTTTAAGGAAATCCGAGAGTGCAGACAACTATTTCAATTGCCTATATATATACTGGAGCCCTGGTGATGCAACAGTATATATATATATATATTTATTTTATTGATACATTTCTTCTTCTAATTCAAAATATTAGTTCTTTTAGGTTAATTAAATTATACAGTAGGAGCATACTCACACACAGACAGACAATCTTACTGATGCACACAAATAGGCTCATTGACAGACAATGACACACACAGACAAGGTTACTGGCACACACACAAATTTAGTACAGACAAACTCTGATACACACACACAGCTTACTATAGACAAGCTCACTGATGCGCACACACTCTCCCTACAGACAAGCCCATTGACACACACATGCTCCCTACAGAAGAGCTCACTAACACACAGATTCACTACAGACAAGCTCACTGACACACACATGCTCACTATAGACAAGCTCACTGACACACATATGGTCACTACAGACAAGCTCACGATCACACTCATGCTTACTACAGACAAGCTCACTGTACACACATGCTAACCACAGACAGGCTCCGACACACCCATGCTCCTTACAGACAAGCTCACTAACACACACACATATGATCCCTACAGACAAGCTCACTGACACACATACAAGCTCACTCACTAGCAGGCACACACACACACAAACTCACTAGCAGGCACACACACACACACACACACAGAGGCTCCCTCACTAGCAGATGCACGCACACACACACACACACAGGGCAGACAGTCACTGACACCCAGGCAGACAGCCACACACACACACAGGCAGACAGTCACTGACACCCAGGCAGACAGCCACACACACACACACACAGGCAGACAGTCACTGACACCGAGGCAGACAGCCACACACATACACAGGCAGACAGCCACACACTCACACACACAGGCAGACAGCCACACACACACACACACACACACACACACAGGCAGACAGTCACACACACAGGCAGACAGTCACACACACAGTCAGTCACACACTCACACAGACAGTCACAGACACAGTTACACACAGACACAGTCACACACTCACACAGACAGTCACACACTCATACAGACAGTCACACACTCATACAGACAGTCACACACAGTCACACACTCACACAGTCACACACAGTCACACACTCACACACACAGTCACACGCTCACACACACAGTCACACGCTCACACAGACAGTCACACACAGTCACACACTCACACAGTCACACACAGACAGTCACACACTCACACAGACACAGACAGTCACACACTCACACAGACACAGACAGTCACACACTCACACAGACAGTCACACACAGACAGTCACACACAGACAGTCACACAGACAGTCTCACACAGACAGTCTCACACAGACAGTCTCACACAGACACACTCACACACACAGTCTCACACAGACAGTCACACACAGTCTCACACAGACAGTCACACAGACAGTCTCACACAGACAGTCACACAGACAGTCTCACACAGACAGTCACACAGACACACTCACACACACAGTCTCACACAGTCACACACAGTCTCACACAGTCTCACACAGTCTCACACAGTCTCACACAGTCTCACACAGACAGTCTCACACAGACAGTCACACACTCACACAGACAGTCACACACAGACAGTCACACACTCACACAGACAGTCTCACACAGACAGTCACACACTCACACAGACAGTCACACACACAGTCTCACACAGACAGTCACACAGTCACACAGACAGTCACACAGTCACACAGACAGTCACACACAGACAGTCACACAGTCATACAGACAATCTCACACAGACAGTCTCACACAGACAGTCTCACACAGACAGTCTCACACAGACAGTCACACACTCACACAGACAGTCACACACACAGTCTCACACTCACACAGACCTCCTTCTTACCTCCTGTTTGTTGCTCCTGCAGGCTGGTTGTTGGGGAAGCAGGGACTCCTTCCTGCTTCCCATGCTGCAGTCAGCCAGGCCGCCGCACAGTAAGCCCCGCCCCCGCCGCACGCTAAGCCCCGCCCCGGCACGCTAAGCCCCGCCCCCGCTGCAAATTTTTTAAATTTATTTTTTATGATCCCGCCGGCCATGTGTGAGCTGTGACGGCCGCCTGGCTCCCCCTGCTCCCATGAGGCTCTGTGCGGCCGCACAGCTCACACATAGCCGGCCGGGATCAGGGCTGTCAGACCGGCCCCAGGTGCCGCGGCCCACCGGGAAATTTCCCGGTATCCCGGTGGGCCAGTCCGGCCCTGTTCCTCATTAAGTCAGAATATTAATTATGAACTTGAACTAGGAAAAAAAAACGGAATCCTCAAAGTGGTTTTGGGATGAAAGGGCATCAAGAGCTGCGTTATTTTAAATGCAACTGGTGTACTGATATCAGGGCCGTCTTTAAAGGACCACTATAGTGCCAGGAAAACCTACTCGTTTTCCTGCACTATAGGGTCTCTGGGTCCCCCCCACCCTCTGGGCCCCCCTCCCGCCGGTGGTGGAAGGGGTTAATCCCTTACCTTTTTCCCCCGCCGGGCTCTCTCAGCGCGGGGAACTCTCCTCCTCATTTTCGCAGTCATCGGTCGCGCGCGCATTCAGCCAGTCCATAGGAAAGCATTCTCAATGCTTTTCTATGGACGCCGGCGTCTTCTTACAGTGAAAATCACAGTGAGAAGCGCGGAAGCGCCTCTAGCGGCTGTCAATGAGACAGCCACTAGAGGCTGGATTAACCCATAGGTAAACATAGCAGTTTCGCTGAAACTGCTATGTTTACAGCAAAAAGGGTTAAACCTAGATGGACCTGTTTTTTTTGTCCTTTTCTATGTACTTCAATTGGAGCTGTGGCTTACCTCAGAAATAGTTAGTGTAAGTTACAATTAATTTATGCATTATATCACAGTGGTTCTTTGCATTTTGCACTTTTAGATATATCACATATTTGTGCTAATTGTTTGTATACACCTTATCACTTGTGAGTGAAGCAGTATATTGCACTTTATAACACACATTTGATGTTGCTAAATGAATTTGCACTTTAAATTTTAGCGCACCTTTTTCTGTTTTTACTAAAAGAGAACTCAAGTCTACAATCCAGTATGCGTCCTACTTGTGTAGGTGGCATGTGCATATTGCTCTCTTCCCCTTTCTCCAGCTATGGAGACAGCACGAGTGGCTGCTCTATGCACGGGTGGTTGATGGCTTGGAAGACTACTACAAACGGCATGGTTCACAAACCTGTGAGACAGGTTGTGAACAAGCTGATAGTAGGTGAATGATTGGTGTAACCTCATCCTGATTTTGGAAGGCTTGAACATATCTATATTCTCAAATTTGCTGTTTAGCCTATTTTTTATTTTTTTTACATCTGATACAGAAGTATTTGAATAAAAAATAATATTGTATAAAAAATTTGCTTAAAAAATAATATTGTATAAAAAATGTTGCTAACACTTTGATGAACTATTAATTAACTACAAAAATATCATACTTCCATAACCAATTTGATTAAATGGAAAGGTAGGAGAGATACTTTTTAGATTTTAAACAAACAATAAAATATTGCTTATTCTGTTTGTCAGAACAAAGATATAGCTTTGTTGAATTGTTTTCATAAATGTATGTTTCTTTCAAATTCAAAAATCAATATCATATGAGTGAATCAAAGTTCCAAGTGAGTCTACCTGAGAAATGGTCAATTTTGCATTTGTAGAAAAATAAAGACTTTTAGAAATAAGGGCATTTTATGACAATGCACATTAGAAGTTTTGAACAGAATATATTCCCTTTAAAATATAAGGGCTTGGGGGGGGGATTACAGTTGTACCAGCATTTTTATGAATAAATTAAAAACTGATACCTGCTGAGAAAGTGAGCTGGACCTGTTCATCTGTCACCTCCAGGACAATGAAATCATGTTTCCCATTAAACCTCCCATTATACAGTAGTAGGCCATTACGCTCCCGGGTGGCAAAGCTGGAAGGACAAGAAGAAAGTTTCACTATGTTCTAGGTTACATTATTTATATTAGGTTATTTTTCAAAACAGAGATAAAAATAGATGTCCCACCACTCCTTGCTATAATTGTAAATTATTTTTATTGTGGCCTCACCAAACAAAATCTGTTGTACATTCAGCTCCAACTTCAGATTGATGTTCAAGTAACCAAAACATTTAGTGCATACTTTGTGTTTTTAACAACATTTGCCGTTTGTTCAACCAGTTTTAATTGACTTGCTATCTTTTTTATTTTACGCTTTACATTGTTTCATTGCATTTTCAAACCCATGTAGTTCAACAGTTTTATAGAATTGCAAAGCATTGAGACATTAGGTGATTACAGTTTCTTCGCTTCTACTTCAAACACATTTAGGTTATTCAATAAACTGGCAAAATTATCCAAAACACAATCCAAAATATAACTCGTTGGAAATATCAGAAATTGTAATAAAAAAACAAACAAACAAAAAAAACACAAATTAAAATTTTTCACCTTTTAATCACATTTTTTTAAATTACTTCAAACATTTCAGCAGTTTTTTTTGTTTGTTTTTTGAAAACATTTCACAAGCCCCAATGAGTCTATGTAACCTATGTGGTGAGGAATTAATAAGATAGCTTCCTTTGTGAAACATATTTGAAATATACATATCCTCCTCCAATTTTCATGTTTTCACACCTAAATATGATGAACATATTAATCCTCTAGGATGCTGACCTCTGACCCTGTCTCAACCTCCTGGATAATTAGCATTTGTCACAGCACAGGCCTGGGGACATCTGTGATTTCACTCCACCCTTCCCCTTTACAATCAACTTGCTCTGAGCCTTATGAGGCTAGACAAAAAACATGGGTGGGAGTACAACAAAGAGCAAAGAGGACACACACAGAGACAAAAGAAAAAGAGATTAAGAGAGAGAGGTGGAAAGTGATATAAAAAGAAACCTGGGAACAAAATGAGGAAAACAGAACAGTATGTCTACTATATAAGTAGTGTAGGGCCCCAATTCCACCCAACTCCAATAAAGAATGTATTTTACACCCCTCTAAACCCAATACAGTTAGAACCACCCATACCATATTCTCTGTTGCTTACACATTTTTAAATTTTGCTCTTAAAGAAAGTTACAGCTAAAAGACATATGACTCATTATAATGTACGTATATACCACATGAATGATGCTGTTAATAAAAGGACTTCATTGTAATAAATCATTAGAATTATTGAAAACATGGAGTCACACCTGGAAATATGTCACCCAAATATTGAAAGCCCCACTCACCTGAGTGACAATGTGAAGTGAAATCTCTGTCTCAAGCCACGAAAAGTAAGAAATGATTCTCCATTAAAAGCACGTGTGGTTACTGTACAGTGGGGAGATTCGAATGCACCAGGAGGACACTCACAGTGGAAACCTCCCACCAGCAGGTTCACACATACTCCACCATTCTTGCAGAGCCCTGACGAGCAGCGTGCAGAACGCAGAGCGATCTCGCAATGTGGTCCTTGGAGAGAAGAGATATATCACAGTAAGTGTAGGAAAGTCTAGGAAGAAAGGGTTGCATGGAGTGAAGGACAGATAGTAAAAGACAGAAATATAAATAAAAAAATAAATAAATAAAAGTGAATACTTGCTAAAACACATGTCACAGTGTGCAAACTAAAACATAGGTGGCATCAAACCAGCGTGAGGGCCCCGGTGCAGCTGCACTGGTGGCAGTTCCGCCGCTACACGTGGGGCCTGGGCGGCTGGGCCTCCCATGGCTGCTGGGCCCGTGACAACTGTCATGGTTGTCACACCCTGATGGTGGCCCTGCTGATGTATATTTCAGGTGATTATTATTTTGCAAAAAAAACATCTACCAATCTATCTGCATGACAAGCTGCCTCTCAAATAGGCTACAACAGACAAGCTAAGTATCCTTGGGCAAGACACCTAACAATACATATCCACATACTAAAGAGTGTAAGCTCGTATGAGCAGGGCCTTGCTCACTCCTTTCTCTAACTGTACAGCGCTGCAGAATATGTTGACACTATATAAATAATAATAAAAATAATAATAGCCCTGTTACCAAAAAGGAAAAATAGAAAATGACACTGCCAAGCACACTCAAATACATGTAACTCGTGCTTATTTTTTTTAATGAATCTGGCATTTACTTTTATGGATTACTGGCATTTAAATGTATCATGCTCCCTACTGTCAACATTGTCAATTATCAACATCTCTCACCTGTGTAACCTTCATGACATTTGCAAGTGAAGCCTCCTTCATGACTCTGGCAGAAGCCATGTTCTCCACAAGGTCCTGTGTAACATAGGTCTACCTCTGTTTCACAGTATTCACCAGCAAAGCCCCTTGGACAGCGGCAGCGCAAACCTCCTACTGGCAGGATAGGGCGAAAAAGTAATGTGTCTGAGGCTAAAAAAGGAGCCGAGCTGTCAAATCGCAGGGCAGATACACACAGCATGTAGTTAGGACAAGGCTCCCGCAGACATACATTGTCATCAAATGGCAATACTCGCTGCTGTGCTAGAGCAGCCAACAGTGTCCGATTCAAGTACAAAAGCTCACGGAGTGTCTCTGATGGAAGAAATTCCCCTTCATGGTCTTGGACCTGAAACAAGGGCACATATTTGCATGGTGTGTGTCAGTGTACATGTATTAATTCTTAGGGAACATTTTAAGGAACTATCAACTATATAAACAAACAAACAAAAAAACAAATGTAGGAATGTCCATAAAACCCACTACCGAGGGACATCGGGCACTATAGTGTTAGCTATGATCTACATTTATTAGGTGCAGTTCGTCTGCCTAAATTAACCTTGTTATCTATCCTGTAATTTCTCCTCTTTGAGTTATTTATTAAACTGTGAATTTTCTGGAATTTTTAGAGATTAGGCCAAAATTGCTGAATTGGAAAGATTATCTTGGTTAGCTAATTTTTCATTTCAGCTACTTTGGCCTAAAGACTCTTTTCTTTTAGCAAAAAAGTCATTGTATATTGTTCAATTTTAATTCTGCCCTTGGACCTCTTACGTGTGTCCAGTCCTGTTTCTTGTTTCTAACATTACCTCTGGGCTGGAGGCACTGTAGCGGTCCTTATTTATGTGTGCCTTCCCACATCTCATTATATATGTAGGACTATCCAGTCAATTTCATTATTCATATTAATAGGGCACATGCACTGTATACATATTTAAACCACAGCAGAAGTTATAGGACCTCTTTAATGTTACTCACCAAGAGACTGACATTCAGAATCTGCATATCTGGGGTGATTCCAGTGATCAGTGAAGGAGTCTCGTTGTCTTCCTGAATACTAAAGACTACCACTCCGGGTGGTGGTATAGAAAGTACCTGGGCCACAGCACGCATAAAGAGGGGCATGAGAGGTGAAAGGAAGTGGTATTGAGAGACTCCTCCGAGACGAAGGGTAATACTGTGCGAAAGCATCTCATCTGTAATAATTGCTACCTGTAAGGTGCACTGAGCTGTAACACTGTGTATACCATCTGTGTGGGGAGACAAAGGAACAGACATAAGATGAGAAAATCTGTATCCAACATCTATTTTACTATCTACTATGGATTACTATCCTTAGTAGATAGAACTTGGAAGCTTGTCCAGTTTGGTACAATGTATAATATAAAAAAGTGATATTAATTTTGTATGTCAGGGAAGTTCTCTACAATCTATTAAGCTATCTACTTCTAAAATTGCAGTAATCTACACTGACTACATTCAGGTGTGGACAGCTTGGTATTTATAATAATATATGGTTATATTCAATCTAGCATATTTAATTTATTTAATAATCATGACATTCACAATAAAAACAGCATAATTAGAAGTTAGTCATATGTACTACATCATGGCATTCATGGCACTGGTTGCACACACTTAAGATGTCTACATATAGTAAATCACAACATTTGTACTATATTATAATGCAATAAAGACTGCTACTGCAGACTGCATATATGTCCATATAAAATTCCCTGAACTCTTCCAAAATCTTCCAGCATACCAAGCAGCTATTCAACAGCACCCGGTTTAAATTTATGTCAATTTTGTACCATGACAGCAGTATTTTATAGTACTTAAATGTAGGAGCAGTTGAGAGGGTTAAAAAGGGTTTAATTAATTTAGTTTTGCATTACCAAGCAATGAACTGTGTCCGCACTGGGTTGGGAGGGAATGGGTTAGATGGAGGTTTGAATCAGATGTGTCAAATTCCATGTTCATTCCATTTCTAAACAATTTTAATTTGCTTTCCTCAAAGCATACTTCACAAGCCCACATATGGCTTATTTTCAACTTTGTCACTGTTATCAGCCGGAAACTAATTACTAAAGTGCCTGTCACTATTTTAAGGAATAGTGACTTTTTCCCCCAACTATTAAATCTTACCATTAGGGGCTTAAAATTATTGTCTGGCATGACTTGTAGAGGTTCCAATTGACTACAATTAACCACTACTTAGCAATACGTTTCCAATTGCTTGTAGCTACAGTTCACCGACTGCCTCAGTCGAGATTAAAAACTTGCATCCTGTTGCAAAAAAGTTAACAGCTAACTCCTTGTACATACTACAGGGAAGACATGTTAGCTATATGGCTTTATAATTAAACCCAACACTTGTTCCCAAAGCATATCAAACCATGCCAAACATCTAGTTGTTCTGGTGACTATAGTGTCCCTTTAAATCTTGCTCTGTGTTCCCTTGGTGTCTGAATTTCCATCTATCACAATATGTATTCCTATGCAGTACATGTAAATTCATATAACCTGCAGTACATGTAAATTCATAGTAAATGACTCATGCCACATAATGTTAAAAAAAATAAAAAATAAATCACTAGGTTACACATTTCATACCTTGATAAAGTTTTGGATCCTGCAAGACAGGGCTAATTTGGGAACCTTCTCCTATCTCACCATACTTTTTTTTCCTCTTCTACTTCTAGAGCCACTTAAGAAATATTACAAAAATCTGGAGCAGAAGGCCATCATATGGCATTTTTGCCCATACCAGAAAACATCCACAGCACTCTGTTCATGTGCCACCCTGGCAGTGCTTACTTTCTCCCTGCTTAGGCATGCATACCAATTTATATCATATGTGACATGCATTGCAACCCATCCTTCTCTCTGGCCCTATGCTTTCCACTCCGATTCTGGTATTAAACAACTTTTTGCTTAGCATAGTCTTTTACAGGAGTAAATGTTAGAAATACAATTAAATATTGCAGACATGACAAAAAAAATCTTTGAGTTAACCTACATAAATGTAGTGCAGAAACCAGTTTTTAAGGATAAGAATGCAAATACACATCTCAATTGTCTCCCACAAACCTAACAACTCCAAAAGCCAAGTGGATCCTGGTTTGGATCTGGCTGAGTGGTGATATTTTATTTTATTGACTTGCTAACTATATCAGTGAATATTGTTTAGCCACCATAATGTAATCATTCAGTGATGATGTATTCTGAAAACCTTTTGCATAACTAGATGTTTCTCAGTAAAACATTTTATATAAAAATAAAATTTAGTCCAGAGATCCAGTAGAGGGACATATTTAAAATAAATTTAGTTGACCTTAAAGATGTCAATTTAAATTATCAGGGATTATCAACTAATGCATGTCTATAACCTTAAAAAACCAACACTTTTTATCTAATCTGCACCATCTAAACACCATAAATACCCTGTCATTTATGCATTAGCATATAGTAGACACATGATCAACAGAAGGAAGAATATATAAAGACAATCAACTCAACCAAGAACAAAGCAGACATAGATACTGGTCCCGATTTAAAGTGCATAAAGATAGCAAGAAAAAACCTGTCACAAATTTAAGTGTATAACAAATGTATATTGTTGATAGAATATTTGTGCACTCTCAAGATAAATGTGCAATACACTATCTGGAGCAGCCTTCCATATTCTCCAGCAATTTCATTATTGAGTTTTCAAATTAAGTTTTGCTTACTATCTTAGTAGAAACAACTATATGAATACAAGAGAAAAATATCTTTGAATTCTAAAAACAAAAGTTTTCATAAGGATACTATTACATTGACAAGCTGCTACATATACATGGTGTAATGGACAATTAAATGGCTTATGTTTTCAAGTGTCTCCTGGTTTTGTTACTTGTGATTACACGGCTCCAACATTATTTATAAACAACAGCTAATGATTCATTATGTTAAGAGCATTTCAATGGGTTAGTGTCTTTTTAAAAATACAAAACTGTTCCCACACCTTCTACAATGGCTAGGGGGAAAGGTGTGGTACCCACCCAACAGTTTTAAGAGTTTTTAGATAGCTTTTAAATAAGCTTGTATCACGACAGGAGTAGACAAAGATGTTTACTGCCTGATAATAGAAAAAACAAACATTCTGAATTAGACAGAGACATATTACTGGAAGAAAAAAAAAGTAGTGTTAAGCACTACTATGAATAACAGCAATTTGTGCCAAAGGTCTACAACAAACACATAAGGGAGGGGTATGGCTGCAGGGAGAATGTAGCAGGAGAGTGGAGAAAGTAATGATCGGGGTAATAGAAAGGAAGGAATGCAGAAAAGTAAGAATAAATGGGCAAAGATGGTAGCAACTGGGAACATAGTTTCCTTGCACAGCCATCTTAAGTCAAAGGAGTCACCCAACCATATTTTTCTTCCATTTTAACATCACAGTTTCCATCTGCCAATAGTTTCTCTGTTATTCCATAGGCTAGGAATCTAATGTCTTTACTAATTGATTACTTTCCATAAGAAAGTGGCTTGCTGGTGTAAAAAAAATAAAAAGCTTTGATGGGTGAAATTTTGTCTTTTGATATTTTCCTTCTTAACCAACATCTAAACCCCTTATCACATATGGACCACATGAGGGATAAATTAAAATGTGCACATTTGGATGTCAATGACAGGCTGCAATGCCTGGGCTAAGCCACCCCATCACTCACCTATTTCTGCCATCCAGATGTGTCCATATAATTAAGAAATTACATTCTCATTTATCTTAGTGGCAGTAGAGATGACAGAACAGCCCCAATATTTGACAAACCATTTGAAAACAACATGGTAACTGCACCAAAAGACTCACTATAACCACAACAATATGTAGTGGTTACAGGGCCTTTCTTTAATATTGATCGGACCATGGGCATGCATTTGCTTGGGCCACCTGGGTCCTGCTCTCGCTCCCTGGCATTCAATTACACCCTCAAACCCAACGTAGTGACGTAACTAAAGTAGAAAGGGCCCTGGTGCAAGAATTTATTGGGGTAGATCCCTACCGTGCAACTCTAACAATGCTTTGACAGCTGGGGCTCTACTTTTTTCCCATGCTTGTAGGGTTGTATTTAGCACTGTATTTAGCTGTGTTTGTGTGTTTTAATGTAAACATGTTTTTGTATCGCGCATGTTTGTGTGAATTTGGTGTTAGTGTGTGGTGTTGGCATTTGAATGCAAGCATGAATTTATGTGTAGTGTTGATTTTTGGATGCAGGGGTGTGTTTATATATAATTTTGTTGCTTAACCCCTTAACACCCCTATTCCCAATGTGCACACCCATATATATAGCGAGTATTGCTATATATATGTGTTTTGGCAGTGGCAGTTTTACCTGAGGGGGCCCATCAGGTGGCCCATGCACTTAGGGCCAATCGATGGGCATATCTCTAAAGGGGCCCAATCAGTGCTGTGGATTTCCAATAGCTAGACTGGGCCCCTTTAAGGATTCTGGCAGTTCTAGGAGGATGTGAGCTCACTTCCTCCCAGCTAACACCTGCGCGGGAGGAAGCACTGGGGAGTGAGAGGAGGAGAGAGAGCCAAACCCACATCAGTCCCAGCCAGCAGAGTTCACCCTCCTGCAGCCAAAAGGTAAAAAAACAGGAGGGTGGTTTTAAAAAAAAAAAAAAAAAAAAAAGTGTGTCAGTGTATATGTATCTATGTGTACCAGAGTGTTTGTGTGTATCGGTCAGTGTGTGTGTTTGTATATGTTATTGTTTTTGTTTTTTAAACAGGCCTGTAGTCTTTTGTTTTATTATATTTCATTGTTTTATAGCAGTGCTGCAGCTTTTATGTTCATGCTTTCTAGTGACTGTGTATTTGATTTTTATGTACACTTTTTTTCCCACAATCCTTTTCACTACTTAGTTGATATGCCCCCTTTTTTAGTTTTAGTTGGGCTCTATTTAACTGTTTTGATCAGATTGTTACTGTTTGTTTTGGTAATTTTGTTGCAATGTTAATCTTTTCTATTTGGTGCTGACTGCTTTTTGATCTTTACATACAGAATGCAACAATTAGGGTTATGTTGTGTACATTTCTATCTTGCACACCCCTTCTGATATTTTATTATGTGCATGACCCATTTTCTTTCTTTCTTTTTTTATTTTTATTGCTGGAGCGCTCACACTATCTTTGTTATAAGAGATTCTCAACTAAAGTTAATTTTATTTGATGTGAATCCCATAGACTTGATTATTTTATTGTTTCTCTACTTTTAAACCATATTTTATTT